ATAACCCAGATGTAAAAATACTACAGTTCTTGGGGGTTTCTACTCAGAGTGCTCCTGATTGTATTCATTTCCACAAACAGAAGGCTCATCTGACACTTTGCCTTTTATGGCTACAGGTTTGCAGGAAGGATTCCAAGGACATTATATCCACATGGAGACTTAGAGCTTGCCTATACAATTCCAAATAAATGTTGAGGCGTAACAAGTACTATTCTTTATAACACTAAATCTTAGAAATGCTGTTGACTAAGAGGTTTGAAAAACCCGTCTTACACAAAATAACACTTGGGAAAAGAGAATGAGGTAGGGCACAAGCTCTATTTATTTATTTTTACATATAAATCAGGAGGTGTTTGAAACTCACAGGCACTGAATAAATAGCTTATTTGAGAAAATTGAAACGTGTCTACTCAGTAAGCTCCCACTCTATAGGAAAGCTTTGTGCTCTCTGAAGGGACCAAAACTTCTGGCCAAGAAGGTATTTGGACATTATTTTTTAAATTAATGCTCCTGGATATTCACATAAAGACACAGATATTCACTACCATGTAGAATATATTTTTAATTGGAAGAGGCTATGCCAGCAGAGCTACGAAAAAAGTACAAGCTGTTAGATATAATAACAGAGAAAGAAGACTAGGGGAAAAAAAAGAGTCATAAAAAAAAAAGGAAATAACTATTTAGTTAAAAGAGACTTCTCAGGACTCCTGAGCTAAGGCAGTGGTGGAAAAACATGAAACTTATCATGACCATCACGAATGCTGTTCAGGGATACAGGGATCCTGATACCATGGAAATGGCACTTGTGTTCAGGTTTGTCTTACATGATTCACATATAAATGAAGATGGTTCAGATTTTGGAGCAGTAACAACACACATCAAAATCCACAAGTGTTGTTTACAGTGCATATACATGCACTGTACAGGGCACTGTGGTATAAAGACACAAAAGATTAAAAAAAAAAATTAATTTTCCTCTTTCAGTCAGAAATGAGTGACACAAGCTGTAGCTCCTAATACATAGATAGATTCCACTGACTTCAGGGTTAACCAGATGTCCCTGCTCTTGAGCTGACTTGAGGCAAATATAGCCAATATATTTTTTGTAAAATTAAATCCCAATACTTGCTTCTGTAAAATAAGTATCGGGGTACTAATTTTGCTATTTGTTTTTTTATTTTATTCCTTTGTCCTCTGAGAAACATGACTGCATGTTCTTAACTGGAAGTGTAGTCCTGACAAGACTGTTGAGAAGCGAAAACGATGCACTTTCCCAGAGCAGATGTGCAAGAGCTTAGGGATGCCTGCGACAGCGGTGGCACAAAGCTGAAGGCACTTTGCTGCTGCTGCAATGCAGAGCTCTAGCACGGGCATCCTCTACCTCACACAAGATAGTTTCTGTATGTGCTAGGCGGGTGCCCAAAAGATCATATTAAAGCATGCTAAATACATTCTGTTGAGCCTCTTCCTCAAAGATCTTTTTAGACATGAGCTAAGGTGAGGGCTGGCCTTCAGGCCGAGAAGTTAAGCAGTGAGGCCCGTTGACATTCACAGCTGGTGCCAGGTTTGCTTCTAACGAAGCCGGAAGAGCAGTGGCTTCATTGCTCATCACCCTTGCCTAACACTTGATGCCTCCTGTTTAAGACATTTCCCTGGAGTTATTGCTTTCTGGCCAGGACTGAGACACTGCCTGCGCAGGACCCCTTTTGGCCAGAGAACTCCTTTAAGAGGAGAATTATAAGGATTTGAATACTTAAGGTCAGGATTCTACTTCCTCAATGATTCCTCAAAGAAGAGGTGGGAACTATTGTTTTCGAAGAGCACTTAACGAACCTTTACCTGAAGCAGAAGTTGCAATGCACCTGCCTTCAGGAGCAGATTTGGCTTCCAAACAGGAGCACCCATGGAGGGCAGGGGTTCAGCTGCATCCCCTTCCCTAGGCAGATTTTTCGAGGTTGATGTGAAACGAAGCCCTTGCGTTTGGTGATGGACGCATGAGCTGCAGGAACACTTTTCCGCCTTTCACACAGGGGTGTGCTGCCAGTCATGACACATCAGAAACTGAGCTCCCAGGAACCGCAGCCTGCGATGCCCTTTGAAGTACTGAAGCCAAGATGAGGTAAAAATCTTTGGCTTCTTTTATCTCTGCTTTCCAGACAGTGTCCAAGTGTCTCTGTATTCCTGGCAATTGTCCTTGACTGCCTGACATGGCCAGCACTAAAAATCTCTAAGTATTGTAGCACTGAGCCGATGGGTGCCCAAGCTCCTTACTGGTCATTTCTCTACATACTTTGATGTTCAGCAGTGATCACATCTAGAACAGTAAATGAAATGCTGGATTTAGAGAAATTTTATATGCCAGCCGAGAGAAGGTCCTGATAATGTAATTTTTAGATGTAAGTGCATCTAAGCCCTTCACATAGTTAGCCCTAACTCCTTTTAGCACTGAAGTCAGGGAGAACGCACAGCGTTTCCATCAAAACCCAAACACTGTGAGACCTGGGCAGTCGGACCTAAAATAAGTTGGGAAATACACTTTTTCTCAAACAACACTCTCTGCAAAACTGCCAAAAATTTATCAATGACCTTTTAGAGTTATTTTCTTCTTTCAGTGTTAAACACATTCATTTTGCCTTTGCATTTATAGGCCTCCTTTTCTTCACATATATTTGAGATCCAGATAATTACTCTAAATAAAAATATGTAAAAGCCCATAGATACGATAGAAATATTTTCTTTTTTGAAAATCATGGATAATTACCTCCCATATCCACTACTTGGATGCTTCATGACATGCTTTTATTTTGTTTCCTGATATTTTCCTCTTCTTGCCAATGTAAATCTCACATATTGACTGACTTCTATAGTATTTTACCTGAATACAGGACACCAGCTATAAAAAGCACTATTTTATTGTACTACACAAAACACCCAACCAAGTACTGTCTCCATTATACTCTAAGGCTGCAATTTTTTAATATCAGAAAGACAAACAAGAACTTCTGCTAAATATTCTCCTCTGTGAGTAACAGCTCCCCATTTCCTTATAAAACTGGAAAGGTATTATTTAGAAAACTACACCAAAAATAATTAAAAATCAGATTACCATATAGGAACTTATTAATTTAAAGTAATGATTAAAACTCAGTCCAAAGAGTGAGTATCAAAGGAAAAGATTAAAAAGAGAAATTATAAAATGTCAAAAGTGTCTCCTTTTTAAACATAGAGATATCGCAAGGTACAAAAGCACATACATGAGCAAAAATGAGGGATGGCTCATAAGCGTTCTGTGATCCTATAGGTTAAACACCATTTACAAATTACACATTATAAATTGAATATCTCTTAAAATCAGGGTACACTGCTGTACAGACTATACTGTCTATGGGCTATGTATTAGTAGAGCAACTTTCAAAACAATTAACAAACATTGTTTCCTGGTCTTCTCTTTCCCCCACCTCTTGTAAGATTTGTTGCTGTCCTTATGGCATGACTTCAGCACAGGCCTTCTTAAACTCTCTAATGAATGAAGATATCCAGCCAAATAGCTCCTGAGAGTCTAGGTCTTGAGGCTCCCCAAATTTTACCTGTAAATTTGAAAGAGAAGAATGTTTAACATTAGTATATCCAAGTGATCTAAAGCATGTCAGTAGCTTAATAAAATTAAAAGAGCAAGAGAGAAGTTAAATACCTTAATAATTATTATTGTTGCTGTTGTTATTAATAATAATTATAAAAATATTAATAATAATAATTATTATTAAAACAAACACAAACCACAAAAGGAATATCTTGGAACTAGCTAAAATCTCCAGCAAGCTGAGATGCAAATCATCCAATGTAAAAGTGGCCTCAAAGTTGTCATTTAATTACCTCAGTAACCTGGGCTTCTGTATAATCCAGTCTGTCTGGGCTATAGAACTCCAGTTAAGGAGGAGAAAAATCAGTAAATCATGAAGCTTCCTGGCTCTGTAGTTTGTTAGATGAAATCATTCATAAAAGAAAACGCGTACATTAGGGAAATGGTTTATCTTCTGTGGTGGGCATGGTAGCAGCATGTGCAAGCCAAAAAGTTTTCCTCTTCTGTCATTTTGCTTTGCAAACAAAATAAAATACTCGTAGGGAAGCAGACATTTTTGGGAGAAAAAGTAATTCATCAAAGAGCCACTTTATCCTGCTATCTTCTTTCGTTCACCTGAAAAAGGTGAACAGATGGAAAGTTTTCGAAAAATACATGAAAAATATTGGAATCGTGCTTGCTCTGCTATAAAATAAGAGGTGAAAGGCTGCTATAAAGTTCAGTACTAAGAGAGTGACTCATGCATTAACTAAAATCACTTCCATATACATTCTCCAGTTCTCAGATAGGAAAGGATTATTTCGTGTTAAAACTGTTGCTAAGGTTTAATTCAAGAGGTTTGACATCATTTTCAAAGATTGTCTCTCAATGGGATCAGCGAGTTAAAGAATGTAACTCTGCCTGCAACAGCTTTCTAATTGAGCAGAACAAATCTAGAGAACACGCTCCAAAGGCTTCATCAAACAGTTTAGATGACATCTTTCATTGCTACAGGTTCTTGGATGTAACTGAGAGCTACTCTGTAATTGGGGGATACAGCTCTCCCAAGGCTGCACAGCAATGAAGTTATATTTCAGTATTTCAGATTGCAACTGGAATATACTGCCAGGTTTGGACAGGTGTCTGTCACTATCTAAACATGTTCACCTGGACATCACCTAACATGTTCTTAGGAGAAAATCTTCTGCCTGGAAAACAGAAATACAATAAAAGAAAGTACTTGCATATAATCCAGTCACAAAAACTTTTTCATTAACCAGTGACACCTGATTAATAGTTCTGACTGGTCTGTTCTTAACTGCACCTCCCGGGTGCTCCAAGCCCTTGATCTTTGGCACGCCTTGCCACTCACCCGTGGTGCACCATCAGTTAAACACTAATGAGAGAGGCATTTCCTGGAGCTACTGACCATCTGTGAGAAGTTGATAGCCCACAGCTATACCACAGGCAGTTATCTCCAATTTATTGTTCGTTCCATACAAGTGTCACATGCCAAGGTCACTATTGATTTTATAAGCAGAATATAAAATCATAAGGAAAGGCTTGTTGATTTCTGTTTTAGCTGTAACATGATTTCCATGGCTACTTACAACACATTTCCAGATCAGATATTCCCCCAGGTAAGCTGGGCTATTCCTTCCTAGTGCTGCTGAGATGGCGGCCTGATCTTTGATCACCCATCATATTTTATATTTGCTTTACATTTTTGCTGCTTTATAAATATCTAAGAAGATCTAGCTAGCAATAATATTATTCAGAAGGAAAAAAAAATCCATTCTAAAGGAGAGATATATATCAAATGCCTAACTTTAGAGAATAATGGGGAAGGGAGGGCAATAATCATCTGGGTTAAAACTTGAGGGAACTTCCAGCTACATGGAAAATTAAATCCTCTTCAGATGCAAATAGGAGTCTCAAATGAGAGTCTCCAATACAAGAAAGGAAAGCAAAAAGAGCCTCCTGTGTGTCTGTAACAGTGTAAGATGTGCAATGCCTCCTGGCTGGAGTGCTCAGCTGGAGAGAAGCAACGTCTGAGCGGGAGTGTCGGAGCACGCACGCACAGGAGGGCACATCCAGCTCTCGCTGGGGTCACTCGGATCTACAAGCAGGACCGGCCACATGACACTAACTCCTTCTGAAGAAGACTTTTAGGTAAAATGGGTCAGATTGTTCCATACACCATGGAAGAATTGTCCTCCCAGAGGTTTTAGAGCACAAATCTCACCACTTTTAAATTTGGTGAATAATTTTCAACCATTTCCACTCATGTCACTCATTGTTAATTCCCTTATTTGCACTGTTTTTCCCACCTTTTTTTCTTCTGGCTTTATCCCAGCCCTTCAACATTTTTTTAAAGGCTTGGAACAGAGTTCTCCTATGTGCTACATACAAATTTGTCTTGCCACTGAGGCATTTTTCCCATTTGTGTAAGGCTGCAAGAGACACAAACAAATCCTTGCACATGGTTACAATATTGCTTTTAGTAAAACATTACTAACTAAATTTCCTTGGTGAAACATCTCCCTAATCTTCAATGACTATTCAAATAGGTCCCCAAAGGTCTTCCTTGCTGCATGTTGCGTGTAACATTTGCTATCATAAAACCAAAAAAACCCAAAACCTAAAAAAAGCCCACAAGCAAAGAAATAAACCAAAACACCAAAATCACCACTACTTAAAGCTATGTCCTAATATCAGGCCCAGGAAGTTCTTCCAGTTCCAGAGATTAGCACTGCATTTCAGAAAATCTGTCCTTTTCTTAAAACTTCCTGCTGTGACTCTTCTGCTGGAGAATACTGTCACCACAGCAGAGACCTCCTGAGTCTCTGTCACACTCCAAGTACTAAACGTAGGAATCTACATGCCATGTTGTTAAATATTGCAGTGTGGAGCTTTTTTCATTCTTTCTGGTGTGACCTTCCGATGTGCCCCCAAAAAAAACATTTTCTACTGTATTGGACCTAGATGGGTTACCTATGTTCAGAGGAAAAAATAACTGAGAAAATTAGGTGCTTCTCTCATACAAGTGTGGGTGAGTATAATAGGAACAAACACAATCAGGAAATCAGAAATTTTCTGCCCGTGGAGATTCCTTTCTGCTCTGCTCATTTTTAGACCTGTGCTACCATAAACAGCTCTACCTTTGTCTCCCTCTCACTCAGATAACAGTAGCTAAATCAATGCTTGTCACTTGAAAAAAATCCTCATCCCAGGTAACAGAAGATTTGCAGCTGCCTTCCAGCCAAAGACACCATTGCTTCTGTTGAAATTATAAAATTCCATTGAATTTATAAAATTGCTGAACATCTAGTTTTCTTTTTGCTATTTGGGCCACAGAACCTCTAAAAAAGCAAGATCTCAAGAAAAACAAAAGCCAGATTTTCGTTTGAAACATTCCACCACTGTTAAATACGATACTTTTTCCCCCCTGTTTTCTGTGAACAGTATAATTATAAAGCCTGTGGAAGTATGGAAACTCCTTGCACTTCTTTCTTTTTTTATTATTTTTAAAGAAATGTAGATTTTCATTGCATTTTGATATGATATGTACCAGTATGTTGCTATAAAGCTTCTTCATTTCATCACATCTTTTTGACAGCTGGGATAGATCCCCTTCATATTTCTGAGTTAAATCCTGTAATACAATAAAACTTCTTTTGGTATAGCAGCATAATATTAAAGCAGGAATTAAACAGCAGCCAAAACAAGATAGTTCAAGCCAAAATTTTCATGTCATAAAAATTTCACATTTCACAAAAGATAAGCATACATCAAGTGCACACGTTTCCTTGCAAATATTAAAACATCAAAGCCCAGAAAATAAAAGAAATATTTATGATAAAGAACGATTTACTCTACCACCCATTGACACTACCCAACACACAGGATGAAGATATTGGGGACCGCAGAGATGAACTGGTCCACATCACAGAGTGGTGAACACTTTCACTGGAACTAGCCCTGTTCACAATGAGTACAGCAGCACTCGAGAGTTAATTAATTTCTCCTTACATGCGGTTGGTTCTGCTGACTCCTGGCCATAACTGGGGTCCCTACAGCCTGCTCAGCCACCTCTCCATTATGTCATCCAAACCATCTTTTTCTGCCACTAGCATGGGCAAAATCATCTTAGATGGACTTACACAAGCAATTTAGGAATGGCCTTGGATGATGTTTCTCGGATGGTCTCTTTTCCTAAGTAACAAGTGATAGGATGAGAGGAAATGGCCTCAGGTTGTGAAAGGAGAGGTTTACACTGGATGTTAGGAAAAAAGTTCTTCACTGAAAGGGTTATCAAGCATTGGAACAGGCTTCCCAGGGAAGTGGTGGAATCACCATCCCAGAGGTATTTAAAAGTCACCTAGAGATGGCACTTGGGGACATGGTTTAGTGGTGGATTTAGCAGTATTATGTTTACAGTTGGACTCTATGATCTCAAAGGTCTTTTCCAATCTAAATGATCCTATGACTTTCACTTTTGTCTGAGGGCAGAGGTAATTATTGCAAATTCATATGTGCACTAAAATTGCTATTATTCCAAAGTGCTTATCACAGGCAACCATGGGACTACCTGTTCTTCATCCATTCCAACCCAACTGCCTGTGAAGTAAAGCAAGAGATGCAGAAACTCTGAAAAGCCCTTTCCATGCTACAGTTTATAGTATGACCCCATCAGAGGGGGAATAAAAGGCCACTTTCCCTCAAATGCTCTTGACTCCCTTGTCAGGGCAGGTCTCAGCACAGACTGAGCAAGTTACTTATCTTTTATCTCCAGTCCACAATAAGGCTGTGATAATGTTACCTTTAGTTCCTTGCAGAACTGCGACTCCTGGGCCGTTGCCTTGATTGTCTTGGGTTTAATAAGCTGCCTGCACCGAATAACATTTTCCAATTCTTTTTTTAAAACTAACAAAAGAGAAAGAAAATGAGAAATTTCACTAGCGTACAGTTGTGTCCAAAGGAATGCAAATGTCTAATTTAGGAGACATGGAAAATTTAGGAGAATATGGGTCTCTAATACATTTGTCTCGGGATATTAACTGCCCGTTTTGAAATAGAAATCCTGAAGCAGGTATGAGTTTTATCACATCACAGCAACTGCAGAATAATAAAGAGGTCAATGGCACGGTCTTGAAGCAGCCCTATATCTGACCTTTCCTACCTTTGAGCATAGGGTTTGGCAATGAAAATAACATGCTTCAAATCTACAGTTTTGCACAGAAAGTTCAGGGTTCCTCTAAAGGTAGAAGAACAAAAATTCTACTCTATGCAACATCAAGAACTCTCATCAGGGAGCCCTCACGGTGTGAAATTGCGGGAGAATGCATATAGTCTTGGCTTCAGGAGCCCGATCCTCAACTGAGACAGGCTGCACTCTAGCCTCTTCCTCTCCTTGTGCCCATGCAACAGTTGCAGCAGATGAGCCCCAGGATGTGCCTTGAACCACATGGTGAGAAAGGCTAGTCCAGTAGCATTTGGTCCATCTCTACTGCCGTGGTGAGTGGGACTCAGAAGATAAGGAAAGGGGTTGCAAACCAAAAGCTGAGAGTAACTATCATCCAGGCAAGTTATCAAAGGGTGAAATAGGATATATTGGTCTGTAGTTAGTGTCAACATCCATGCCACATTTTCAAAAGATAGATTTTTATAAACTTTCAACATAATACAGGTCATTTTCATCCACTCCTACACCTCTTCTGTTAGGTCTCAAAGGGTTCAATCTAAAATCCAACTAATTCCCTAGTCACCTTATGATGCTCTACAATGGCAAATTGTAACTATCTCCTCAAATCTATCTTAATGTGAACAACCTTATTCTGTTCTCTCCTGTCAACCTCACTACTGTTGGACTCCTTTGTAGAGTACGTGACCAGTTTGATTGAAAGAAGTTCTTGAACTTCAGGACTAAGCTGTACAAGTCTGCTCCTGCTGGATTGCCTCCTGGAGACTCTGCTTCAGCCATAAGTTTGATGAAGCACTTGTATTACTTAACATTTGTACTTTATGATAAACTCTATTTACCATGGGCAGTATATTTATATATATATATTTCTAAACCACCTGGACATACTTTAATATTTCTTTTTTTAAAATTCCTCTCAGTAACGTGGCATGTTATCACCATAGCAACACTTTACCTCAGTGTTTTGAACCTTTACTTCTCTTTACAAACCAGAGAAGTGCAATAAAAACCTGTTCCAAATGACTGCACAACGTATGAAAACCTTTCTCTGAATTCAGAAACCACATTTACATACCATCAACTTCAGCACTGAGGCCCTTCATGGAAGCTGCATAGGAAGAGAAAGGAAAAAAGATGCTAATAAGTATCCTTCCTATTGTGAGGATGGAAGTTTCCACAGAAGTTGAAGGACTTCTTGTTTAATTTGTCGATGTTTTCCCCCTCCCTCCTCTTACCATCAGGAAGGGCTTCAAATTCTGTCAACTCGTGAGAAAATTTGGCCAGATCAGGCTCATGTAAGAGGATCTGTTCCACAAGGGCGTGAAGCAAGGTGAATGTCCTCTCTTTACCCCGCAAAAGAGGTAACTGCAAATAGAATAGAGCAATAACTGACAGGCTGAGCTATTACACTTAAAAAAAACAACAGCAGCAAAACCAAAACAAATAAAAAAACCTACAGAAAACCCCACACAGCAGGGATGTTAATAGCTTCCAGGCAAACTAGACGAGAATAGAAAACAATGAAATCAAACTTCTCCTTTTCAATCTGCCATTTCACAGACACTCTTGATTAAGATCAGCTTTACACCTTCATATCCATTGACCTTCCTTGTTATTTTGTCTTCTTATTCAAATGGGTCTTTTTTAACTTAGGGTATCCTAGTTAATTGCAACTGATTTTGGACCTTCCGATGCAATTGTTATTCCTTTCCACTTAAAAGTAGTGTGCTGTGTCCAGGAAGGTAGCAAAGTTCCTTAATTGAATCTGGGAAGATGCTCTGTGGCAGAAAATTATTTTGTAGGCATTTTTCATTATGATAGATGTGGTATTATGGCTGTTATATATACACAAACACACATACGCACATATATATTAAGATAAAGATTGTGTGTTGTGTCTCAGAATTGTCACTGGAGTTATAAATCACGTACTCATACATTAAAGCCTCCAGATGGGAAAGATACAGTACAAAAAGTAAAATAAAAATCCTTTTCTCTTCTATTTACAGATCAGGCATAATCCTACAATTGTGTTAAAGGTACAATGTAACTTAGAAAATCTGTATCTATTTCTTACTTTTTAGGATAAGAATATGATGCCCTGCTGCTGTTGGGTGGAGGCTGGGAAGAAAAACGGTATGCTCAGTAGCAGAATTTTCTGACGGCAATTTCTAATGAAGAGGGGAAAGCAGTTTCCTTAAAACTAACAGAAAACAGCCTAATGTCATTCAAGTAGTAGGTCAGTGAAGACACAGTTAGAGAACTAAAAGCTAGATGGAGGTTCTTGTGTAGCAGATCTCTGTCAGGAAAGAGAAAAAATCACAATTGCCAACTTCAGCCCCTATTCAGTCATCCAGCAGAGCAATGATCGGGAAGTTAAAACCATTGCAGGCAAATTTCACTCCCTTCAATTTGTTAATTTATTTACATTCTACTTAAAATGTCATTGTACCATTTCCTGCAAAAGATCTTTGCCCTGGAGTAAAACAAAGCACTGAAAATTATTCCAGTGTCATAAAAGTGCAAATACCACGGAATAAACGCAATAGTTAAAACCTCTGACCACAGTGAAATGAGAAGGATCCATACAACAGTGCTCTGTGCAAAACTGAAAGATACAATTCATATAAATTTGCAGCTAAGCAGGGGCCTGCAGCTGAGATACCTCTTCTAGCCAGGAGATCTTACTATCAGGGCAGTTGGCATTTTTATGTTCTCCTTCATTAGAAACACAGGGTATTCAACACCACAATATGCTCATCTAGCCAGTGCTGCTGTCTGGAATGGGGAAATGCATCTCGTTGTAACACACCTTAAAGAGTACATTGTTAAACAGGATTTTGTTTCTAGTGCAACCAAGAGCAGATGTTAAAATGTTAGCTACTCATTAAAAATGATTGCCTTGCCCCACATTCAGGGCAAAACTGAGTTAATATTAATGGCTAGTGTACCTTACAATATGATCATTTTAATGACAGAAAAATACTCACTTTGGTCAAAGACGACAATCGAAATCCTTCAGCCTTCACTTTTCCAGCCTTTTCATTTAAATGGTTCCCAATGGCTAAAATGTACTCCAAGACAGCAACAAATTTCTGGCTGGACTGCAGCTGTTTGCTAGCTTGGATTTTCTGGTTTATTAACTAAAAGACACAGATCTTCCTTCAGTTCAAATTGGACATGTGAATAAATAGCAATGTTGCCTATACCTTCTCTTTTCCAAAAGCCTCATTGTCCCCACCTGAAGCAAGTCACACTTCAGCTGATGGATACCTTCCTGCTCAAGTGCCCTGGGGGTACAGGCCAGGGGGATTCAGGAAGAACCACTCAGAATCTCCCACCCAGATAAAGCCAGTGTTGGCACAGCTACCCTGCCCCAATGGAGGTCACATCCTTTCCGGTTGCCAAAATGACTTCAACCTCATCTCTTCACAATGCTTCTGAAGAGAAAGCATTTTGCTGTTTGAATGCACCAGATTGCACCAAATGTCAGGCATCAGGGGAAGCAGATAGCCTGAAGCACAGAAAAAGGTTCTCCATCCTTCACCTCCCTTCCTTCTGTTTATACCATCTGAAGACTCTTATCTTATCAAAATTCCTAGCACAGTTTCCCCCCAAGGAAGAATAACAATTTCCTGTAATCAAACTCAGTATCAATTTCTCTCTTCCTGGGGAAGCCACCTCCCTTCTAGGGCTGTAGATCGATCCGAGAGGTTGTTTTGTTTCAAATTAGGAAATGTATGATTTTTTTAGCACCACACCTCTCTTCGTCAGTCACCAACACACAAATTTAATAGCAGGGAAATGACAAAACATGTGGGAGAGCTGAAAGCCATTGTTAAAACATTTCTAGCACATCACAGGGCCAGAAGGTGCTGAAAGTCAATATTCAGATTGTTCTTTAGAATTTTAGAATTTTAGTGTATCATCTATGGCTTACAAACATGTGTTAGCATCCACAAAGACAACTAATCAGCTCTTCAATGAACATCCTTCAAAGCTAATGGTATATACAATACCTTCCAAATATTCAAATATTTGGCTTCTGTGGAAGACAGCAAAGGGGAAGTGTTGTACCAGGCAGGTTCAGAAACCTGTGCATCCCCTCAGTGTTTTCCATCTGTTCCCCTTCTAATTTTTGTTCACTGTTACTATGGTTTTAATCACAGCCAGACAATGGATAACAAATCGGACCTGCAGAACTTTGTAATTTTATTTTCGCTCCCGTGCATAATGAGACCAAAACCTTTGAAATATTTTCATAGAAACAGAATCATGTTGAAATACTTTGTTTCGAATCAAAGCATTTACAAACCCTGACATGTAAGGCAGCACTTTGGGACAGAAAGATGTAGTCCGTGAGGCTGGAACACTTTATTTCATTCCCCTACCCCACCGAAAGGTCATCCAGAAAAAGGTAGAAAGGGTCTTGAACTCTGGTTTGCAACATTTCAATTCAGTGCTGTACTCCTTAGGGTGAACATCCTCCTTCAGTCTTGTGAAAACAGTAAATGTCTATGAGATGCTGGTTGAAGAAACTTGTTCTAAATACCTATGACTTTAGATTGATTCTTTCAGTTTGTGCAGCAAGAACCTCCCCACACAAGGAATTGAATTTTAATGGCAAAATTTGCTTCTATCTTCTTGCTGGTCAAAGAGGAAAGCTTCACAACCTCAAATAAAAAACGTGAAAATTCTTTCCTGTTCTTTTCTCTCTCCTTTGTGGGTATCTGTTCCACTGCCAGGCCCATTAGCAACTGCTTCTTGAACCTTCATGGAATAAGGATGATATTAAATGCACATATATGTATGTACATGTATATCATAGCCCTTATTTGTCTCTGGTTTGGGGTGGTTTCTTTTTCCTGTGTTTTGTTTTGAACCAGTACCAAGAAAATACTGTCATTAACAAAACACAGGAAAATTAATTGGATTCCCAAAAGCATTCCAAATACACTAGCCGATAGTGTCATTGTATTTCAAATACAATTCCTTGGTTATCAAAGTCATAATCTATAGAGATTTTACTTTTTTTTTTAATCTTTTTGCTTTTTACTTTTGAACAGTGCCATGAAATGTTTGTGGTTTTTTATTCACCGGGCTGTCTGGATTACTACACTATGAATTGCTCATGTTATGGATTGTGAGATATTTTGCTATAGGGGAAAAAAGGAAAAAAAAAAAAGAACAACCTCCGCAACTACAGCACTTCAAAATGTATTGAGGCCACTTGACCCTCTACTATCTATGTGGCAGATTCTGATAACAAATACACTATGAAGGAATCATGTTACTTACAGGCTCCAAATCCCTCATGCTCACAGGGAGCTCACGTACAGTAAGCAGGAGATCCAACCTCTGGCCTAAGTGGGGGATTTTACACATCTGCACAGAATTGAACAGAAAAGGAAGAAACCCCCATATTTATACCAAAACATGCACATACATCTTTCAGAATTTATTAATTCAGCTGCACTATATTTTTCCTAATTTTTGTGCTCATTTATTAATTTTATTCTAGCCCTTAAGTCTGTAGGTACACTACAGCAAACATAAAAATCACATACCTGAATACACATAGCTTGTGTACGCAAATTCAAGAAAACTCTATATATTAGCAGGGCCAGTCACTATTAAAATCAGTGACACTCATTTCTTGTGAAGAAGAATAGTTAAATGCATGTAATTTCACTCTTAAAGATTGTGGCAATCTAACTCAAAATAAATCAACTCCTACTTTGGAGAAAGTGGAGGGCGTGGGACTTGGAGAAGCAAAGGGGTCCATACAGTTCTCTTCCTAATATCTACCTGTCTCAGCTCTTTATCAGATAAATCCTCTTATTTTGGCTGAGGTTGTAAATTTAAGTTTCAAACAACACCTTTTTGTAACGGTTTTATCTAGAAGAGTGTGCTGGAAACAGCATGTGATATCTTTTAATGCTGTGCCTTCTCACCTCCAACATAAACTGATCAACCACATGCAGCTCTGAAGGAGACCCCTTGAATGACTGGTACCTTTCTACATCTTTTGGTGTTGGCATGTATCTGAAAAACAGCAAATAAAAATTAGTCTTTTCTCCTTTATTCAATATTGCTGTAACGTAAAACAATCACTCCATTCCATGCCTCAGAATTTCTTACTGTTTAGCATGTTTTACATATGACATATTTATTTTTAACCATTGGGACTTTATAGACATTTGAGCCAACTGCATGAATGAAAGCAAAAATGATCTGAAGATGCACTGAATGAACCTTGCAAAAGCCCCTTTACACAAAATACACTTTTTTTACCAGTTATCACCCTGCTGGCTCAGACTGTCACCAGCAGTATCTTCTTTGAAAAATTAGTACAAAAGCAGAGCAGACATGTTGTGGTGTGATGAACCCATGAGCCTCATGGTCTGACTGACTCCTAACTCTGAAACTTTTTTAATTACTGATGAAACCAAAGTGGGAAGTAGTGTTTCTCTCTCTCTCTGAGCTGCATCAAATCAAAGGCCCATTTCTTGGTTTTGTTGTGATAGCACAGACCTGCAACTTGCATCCTTCTGCATAAGCAGCAAAATATTCTCCCCCAGTACTCCAGAGATGCAGATTTTCAAGGAACTGACATTTTTAAATGTCTGATATTCCCTCGAATCGTTTTAATGTATTACATATATGAAGCAAAACTAACAGATTATCTAGAAGGTTTGACACCTAAAACACTAAACAATGGAAGCCATGAGAAAGAAAGTACAAGAATATGTGCATTTCATAAATATCTTTTTACATGAATGCAACTCTAAGGAAGTTTGAGCTATGAGAAAATCTCACATTGTTATAAAACATGAAGTTTCTAGAGACAAATACTGCTTTGCTATTAATTTTAAGATGTCTGGATAAAGAATCATTTAGAGAACTATGGAAAGGTTTCTGTATCAAATAGGTCCTTAAGTTTCTAATAATATTCCACCATCTACGCTAATCTTCACTGCAGAACATTTTGCTCATTGGTCAGAGTCTTGAAAATGATATCTTGGTTTTGGCTTTAAATATTTTCATTGTACAATAGCACAATGTAGACCTCCTGCTCAGGCTGAGACAGTATGACAGGTATAATTTGCAGAGGTTAATTATCTAGTCGCTGACTATCCTGTTTAAACTCCTGTGATAACCACATGTTCTCAATTAACATTATTTGCAGAAGAATATGGCTTCTCCAAAATGTAGCATATAGTATAAACAAATAATTGAACCCCAAAGTTTACCTTCTTAGTGCTGTAATCTGCTCATCTGTAAGTCCACCACTCTCTTCATGTATAATGCATAGTTTTTCCTTCAGCTCACTTGGTTTTATATGGAAACTTTTAAGAAAAATGTCTGGAGGAACATTATTCTTAGGTTACTTGGAAGGAAATGCTCAAGGGAGAAAGACTACCAAAACAATTAACATTTTCTTTCCAGATTAAAAACAAAACAAAACCAAAACACAACAACAAACCAAAACACTTGGTAGCTGCTAAGGCTAACGCAAAACCTCACTCTCCATATTTTCTTTAAATATACCTATCAAGTAAAAATACATTTCTGTCAGAACATAGTCAATGTTTAGGAGCATACTATCAAGATACTGCCGTTGGAAGATACTCAAGCACTTGCTCATATATTTCTCTTGCATTCAGCTCAATAGTCAAAATAATTTTTTTTCAATAGCAACACAATTTATTGGCATACTATAATATTTTGAAGGTTAAAGAAATGAAATTTTCCATTTGTTTTGATTTTATTTAGTTGCTTTGTCTAATTTCCAGGGTTCAGAAGAAAGTAGGCAGAGCCTATGCAAGACAAGTTACTCTCAGAATTAAGACAACATGGGAAGCAAAGTGCTCACTTCTTCCACACTGCCTCATGTTCTAAAATCTGATTAAGAGTTTTTTATAATATTTAGAACTTCTGTGCTGACATGGGGCTGGCTCATAAATACATGTTATGATAGGAAAGCAGAAAAGAGACATCTCTTCTCCAGACAGGTGAAGAACAACTTGTAAGGTTTTTGCTCCCAAAAAGACTACTTTGCCCTGCCAGCGATTCTTCAATTACTGTCTCCATCACTGTGACCAGAGCATGAAGGCAAAAAAGGAAGCACAAGGAAGCGAACAAAGGGCATCAGCAGAGAAAGCAACAAGGTTTAAATGCGTCTCAGTGTTGGCATGAAACTTGCCCTAGAGTCTCTGCTACAACAGAACATCTCTGAACAGCACAAGGGCATTGGGAAGGAGAATTCGGGATGTCTATGATTTACCTTTTCTTTTTTTTTTTCTTTCTTTCCCTCCAATTCTAAAAGAGAACGGAGTTTTCCAGGTTATAGGAACTTGCCGTCGTTAAAATCAACTATTAATGGTTCTCAGGAGGCTGTCAGCCAATGGAGTATATACCGTTTATTCTTCCTCTGACACACTTTCCACCCTTTTAATTTTGTTACTAGATCTAGTTTTAGTGCTAAGCCTGGCAGAATCTTCCTTACTTCCTGCCTATGTTTTTTATGCCCTATATCTTTTTCTTCCCTATGCCTTTTAAACCATGTATCTCTTCAGATGGAGTGACGTCTACAGATCGTAAGAGTACACAACTCATAGTAAAATGTTGATTTTAAAATTTTCACAACCTATCTACAAAGCACTTAATATTTTCTTGAACATTTTTGGTAGCTGAAATTAGCTGCTGCATCATCAGACTTTGCCAAAGTATTTTCCTAGGCAAAGTAAGGGTTCTATATACGGGAAACTGGGTCTTATACAGAGAAGCAGGCACCAATCAAGTCACAGAAGCTGGTATTATAACTCCCAAGTCAGTTTTTCACCAACTAGATCCCACATTCTTGGATTAACATACATATTATAGTACCTCCCAGAACATTTTCACTGGAAATTTGAAGATGTTTCTCTTGTCTCTCTGATTCCTGTTCTCAGTATAGCAGAAATTTGTCTATAAGTAGCCACTATGTAACTTAATTTTCATTTGCATTTTCTCATACATTAGGCTTGAATTTAGTGCTATATCTTCTCTCAGAACTGACATTTTTCTCTTGTGTTCAGAAACCCACTCACTCTCAAGAAATTTAAACCTACTGGCGTTTCGGAGCTTCATCTTTTTAGTCGTTAATTTAAGAACTGTGGTTTGCAGCACTTGCAGGAAGATTAATCAGAATTCTCAGGATCAAATTAACTTTTGATCTAAGTAATGTCCGTTGTCATAAGTGTATGCCAAAAATCTCACTGATGGGACTTTAAGGATAAGATTAAGAAACGGATGTAGAATATCTCAATGAAAAAAAGTTGTAAGAGGAACAGGATCAAAAGGAAGAATGGTGCTATTTGCAAACCCAAAGAAAGAAATTTCCTCAAAGAAACTGCAATAATTTAATAGATAAAAGTGCTATTACAGGATTCTTTTTATCTGCAACAGCACTTTCGTGTCACTCAATTCTTTTTAACCCTTCAAATTGTTAGTCAATGGATGCAATAATTCCAACAAGTTATCTCCATTTAGAGTTTCCAATTAAAATTTTACAGGATCTCTGAAGTATATTCTTCCTATCAATATTCATAAAGATGAAATCATTAAAACTTCAAAATTAACTGCTCCAAATTCTTTACACATGTAACGTTTCTTAAAACAGCACTAGGTTATAGAACTTTTTTGGAAAGCCATTTCTGTAATAGAAATCAGAGAAGTTCTTTGAAGAACAATTACCCTTACTCCTTTAATATCTACCACTTCTCATCAAAGTAATTGAAAGACCTTTACATCATTTTATTAGTAAGACCAGAACTATATATTGAACTGCTTCATTAGCTCTGAAAGACCGTTTCAGGTTAGGCTTGTGGTGAAATCATATCTGGGGTATGAGAGGGAGGAATCCTGTTCAGGATCATTCGAGACAGCCTTTCACAGTCTAAGTTACTGGCCAGAGAAAGGCCAAGAGACTTCCTGCAACCTGGCTTGTAGCTGTCTCAAAGGCTTCTTAGATCAATCCATCTATGCCCATAGGAATATTCCTGAACCCGCTATAGGAGAGACACTGAGCACAGTACTCAGAGCAGAGGGGCACTCGGTTAAAAGATGATTTAGACACAAGCTTTTCTCCTTTGTCTACTGAATGGCAGAAAGAACAAATAGAAAATATTTGCAGTGCTCACCCCAGGCTTCGAGACAGGACTACACACTTCTTATGAATACACTTACTGAAGTTATGAGCAACTTTCCGATCTAACATGATATGTTGGGTCACCGAAGGTTCGTTGCCTGAAAATATCGCCATGTCCTGGGCCTGGAACTGATCACAGAGTCTGGATACGTCTATTTTTCTCTTGCACAGGTCACATGATCCCCAGACAGACTTTTGAATCTGAAAATATAGGAGGGATAGGGTAAACAAAAGCCAAAAGAACTGAGACACTTTGATCCATCCAAACATAGAGATGGACATCCTGGTTGTTTTGTGGCACAGATGTACTTTTCTGATATCTACACAGGTAATACAGGCTACAATTCTTTCTTTTTTATTTTTCGTTACAGTTACCACCAATTTCATTCTCACCTTATCGCAAGGAACAACATCCCAGTGAAAGGCTTTGGTTCTCTTTGTCAGTGGAGAGGGGCTGCAGGGTTGTGGGAACACCGGTGGGGCTGGCGGCACCTCTGCCTTACTCATGGGAAGCGAAAGAGGTGCTGGAGCTACTTCCCCCTCTGAAGGTTTTTTCTGGGGGCTTGAAGACATGTTCAGGGCGGTTATTGCAGAACTCACAGCTAAGTAGATGGCTTCCTCTTTCTGTTCATTCAGAGGTACAATAAAATCCTCATAATCCGCTTCGGAGGAGATGCATTCTTGAGACCCCTCCTGAGGCAGTGAGGCGTCCTTGCACAGCGGACAGTACTTCTCTATGAGAGACACCCATTCATTCTGGAGCTTGCTAACATGCTCTATCCTGTTGTTTTGGACAGTCAAGGGTATCCGAAACCTGAAATTGAAGAATGTCATATATAAACACAAGGAAGTGTAAATAACATGCTGACTAATACAGCCACAGATATTTCCCATTTAAGCAGAACGATGTTCAGCGGCTTTACTTGTCAAAGTAGCCCAATGCTGCTGACTCTGACCTTTTCAGACAGAGTTAATTGCTTATGTGTCTAAGGTTAGAGAACTGAAGTTTTGCCATATATTGACTTTGTGTGGTGCTGTTACCTCATAATTCCTCTTCTCCACCTTGGGGGAAGGTTAACAATGTGTTACAACTTACCGTGCTTGTTGCATAGACTAGTCAGAACCTGTTCACGTATCTGTCCTATCAAGCTGAATAACACAGCTCTTCACTGGTTTGTCACTTGACAACTAGACAAGTCTTTGTGGGCAATATTTCAATGTATCATCTCAATTCCACAATATGGTACCTTTTATTCCTGCTTAAAACACCCATCAAATCACTGCATAACAATGGGAGGGGTTATAATACTGAGGGTGTCGTTTCTCCACTGTTGTGTTTTGTTGTGAGGCATGGAGATTCTCTGTTACTTGACCTTGTTTTCAGCTGTTCTGCTTTAACGAATTTTTAATTACCAACTATACTTACAGATAATTGCATTCTTCAGTCTGGACTGAAAAGGTACCGCATCCATTCTCCTTGTGGACACTCACATTGCCAACTGACAAATTAATTGCATTGGTTATAGGGTCTGCATTCTTATTCTGTCCTCCCAGACCTATGCAATACAAAGTCAATTCCCCTTCACGTAGTTGTACCAAGTACCTGAAGGGCAAGGAATAGAGATACAGTTCATTCTTCGCTGACTACTTATTTGCACAAGCCTTCCTTTTGTTAAAGCATTTTCTAGTGTCAATAAGTCTCCACGTTGTTATATCTTTCATGGAACAGTCAAAAAGTATTAATACTAAAGCATAAAACGTTTGAGATAAGGGCTTCTTATTCTCATCTGATATGTACATAAACCATTACATAACATACAAGCTTCCATCCTGCCATACCCAATGAGCACGCTAAAATTAAGAATTAACTGTTAACTAACAATCACCCAAGTCGTGCTAATTTTTTAGCCACACTCTGTCCCTCCCACTCCATTTATTCCCCTCATTTGTACAGGGCAGTGGTGTCTTTTCGCCTAGCAGCTTCTAAAGGAACTCACTGTGTGACCGAGCAGTGTGTACTATGACCAAGCTTCAGAGTTTCTACGTATTCCAGCTTTCACTGCCACCAAGCCATAAAGTCACCGTAACATAAGTTAGTGCCTAATCTTATAGTCCCATAACTTTTTCTCTTGAAAATGTGTCTGCCCATGCTCTTACTCCATGAGGACTGATCCTGGGCCCCCTTTATTCCCATAAGTCACTTGGCAGAAAAGGGTCAAATCATTCTGCTCTCAAGGGCTTCCACCAGAAACGACTGTGCCAAATTTAGGGTATTACCTATTGAAATAATAAATTAATCCTGGCAGAAATTGCCTGACCATACACAGCTTTATTACAGCAGAACCTTTTGCTTCATTCTCTCTAGGATTGTGCTCTGCTGCTTGTATCAAGGTCCTGCATTCAGCAAGCGGGACTTCACTCTGTGTCGCTTTTATTCTTATTTAAGCATTTAGGGGTTTGGGTGGGGTTTTTTTTTGAGGGTTACTGCATTTCTTTATCATTTTGACAGGTCTATCAGACCTTTCTTTTCCTCCACTCTCACTTCAAGGTGTGGCTAGTTGATTAAGGTGTTCTATGAGGAATTTAAATAAGTTTAGCTGTTCCAGAAGAATTAAACATAAAATAAAAATTGCATCTATTCCCACATAAACAGTCAAAGTGATAAGAATTGTTTAATGGAGCTGGCAGTTATATTGATCTCTCCTTTGTCTACAGCAGGGACTTATAGTTTAATCAGATCTCTAGATGTTTCCACTATTATTTACTTTGGAAAAAAAAAAAAGGGGAGGATTAACATCAAGAAGAAACCAACAAAGTCTCTGCTTCACAAGATAAATAAAAATCAATTTTTATTTGCTAACAAATTTGTTAAATGTTGCAAGGTAACAAATCCTGGGATAGTGTTTACAAGACATACAGTAGTAGCCTTTTAAAAACAATTAAAATAATTTTCTGTGAACTGTGAAGTCTTTTGAGATAATTGTCCTGTGCAGATAATTAACATGGGGTTTTTTTCATTAGTTTTTGCTAGAAAGATTTTTTTTCCTCTCCTTTGATAGTATAGGCAGTTTCCAGATATTTTAGGAGCTGGGCAATGGTGGGTTATGTGTAGGATGGTTGGTAAACTATGTAAAATCATTGTGGGTGATTCACTAGGATCAGTAACATAAAAAGCAGAAGCAGAAGTAATGCTTGTCCGTGACGGCTCAGGGGCTGAATGAAGTGGTGGTGAAAGTCCATTTCCTACTGAACCATGATTCTTGTCTCTGAAACGATCACCCCATTAGGCCACCATAGTTGGTCACCCCCACAGGAGGGAAGTTCAGAACATGACAAGAAGGAATTGGGAATTTGGGGGCAGCTATTTGGCCCCAAATGCTCTAAGCAAGACTGCTATACTTTTTATCTGCTTTGCCAGTCTTTCTTTCCTTTTCTTTATGACTGAAAACAGAGTAAAGAGGTAAACATAAAGAAGTCCCACCATTAAATTCACTGAACACCATCACATTTGTGTTAGTAATGCACACAGCAGACTCTAGCACAGACAAGAACTTCATCCTGTTGGGTAACACTACTGCACTAACATTTAATTTCAGTGGTTTAGTTTCATGCAGATTTGGCATCTGCTATAACTTTAAAAAGCAAATAAATAATTCCCTTATTATCAGCAAATTAAAATCTTAACGTATTTGTCAGAAATACACAACCCAGAGGTCTACAAAAGGACAGTACGTACTTCACCCATTCAGTAGATGTAGAAGTCTTTTGCTGCAAATCCAGCAGTCCTTCATGTACCACGTCACATTCTGCAGGTCTGCCAGAGCAGGACTCTGCTGGTCTCTTGTATGAGTTGCTCTGTATAACTCTGCTTAGAAGGTAGATTATCTATATAATAAGTGGCAATAGAGAAAGTATATTTCACATGTTATTTCCCTTGAGTAAGGCACTAATAGGTGGGAGGTTTAAGTATAAAAATGATAGACAACAGTATAAGCAGCAGCCAATATGTAACATAAATTAACTTAAAATAAATAGGGTCTTTCTGTGATTCTAAACTACTTAACTGCAATTTGGTTTTATACCCACAATTCTAAACCTGTCAGTGTAAGGAGAATATAATTTTATTCTGCAGGGGTTACTGTAAAACATAACTTTACTTTTTTAGTTCCTCTACAAAGCATTCTAGGACAAAGTTTCTGTTCAGCTCACTTAAACCAACTAGTACTTCATTGATTTAGCTTGAAATCTCAAACCTAGCAGCAAAATGAAGGCTTGTCTACAGCTGAAAATAGGATGAATTGAGGTGGGTGTGAATTTAGAGCACTCTTTTTGTTCTGCAGGGCCTATATTTGAGTGTTCTTACTACAGAACACATGTACCTTTTTGAGCTCTTCTGCTAAATGTAATCTATTTTGAAAATTAAGCTAATCAGCCATGAAGTATGGTTCATCTGAAACAAAAGTTTCTGCACATGGAACGAAGCATTGTATTTCAAGATGGATGAATCCTTCTGCAAAAATCCCCTCCCCAGCAGAGGTCTGAGTGCAAACTCTTCCATGTTTGTTGAGAGTTTGTATCTCAACCTAAATTGTGCAGCTGGCTTCAGCAACTCCCCCGTGGGATGACACAAACTCCAAGACTTGATCACCCCTGGAGACACAGGGTGCCTGCACTCAGGTGAAAATGCTAATATCACAACTCAACTTCCTCAAGTTCCAGTGTAGAGTTTAATTACACTAACTACTTGGAATAGCTAGTGGAAATTAGAACTCAAAAGGAGCCAAGACCTCAAAATCAAACAGCTCTTACAAAATCTTGTGTCCTGGTTTGAGGTAGAACAGAACTAATTCTCTGTTCAGTGATTTTACTTTTCAGCTGAGTCTCTTCTAAGTGAATGCACTTTCTGAAGCTAATGACATTTTTTTTGGACAGTGTCTGCTTCTAGAAGTGATAGTGTTTGATGTATAGTTACCATCAAGAAATGTTATGCAGAAAGATGCTTGCTTATGCTTGCTCCTATAGCAACCAAGGTCACTGCTAAATCTTGTGTACCATGTCAGAGTGCTGTAAGTAAGAGGGTCACACCTGCTGGGAAAAGCAGACAGGACAAGTGACCCAAACCTGACCAACAAAAGTATTCCATTCCATGTACATTATATGTAATATAAAGCTGAGGAATCACAAGGGTCATGATGAACAAAATAACAGGTATGTCAGTGTTCTCCGCAGACACTGGCCATAGAAGAAGACAGCTTGACAAATGTGGCAGATAAGAGTTATCAATGTACCTAGGCTGCAATAGTTTTAAAATTTCAGTGTATTTTCCTACTATTTCGTCTTCTTTTCACAGCATCAGGATGGCCTCATTCATTCTTCTTAAAAGCATGTATTTTAATAAATACCTTATATGTAGAAAAAGCTGCTTGGAAAATTTCTATTAAAATTCAACTGTGCATGTCATCAGTTTTGTTTGCTTGTTTGCTTGCCAGTTACATTCAAGGTGTAGTTGAAGAAGTACACCCATTTTATAAGACATCTTGAGCGGGCTTTACATCTTCAGTTGTAATAAAATGTGGTAAAAACCTAAGGCGAGCTTTATTCTGAACTCACATTCCCTTTGTTCTATGTATGAACACACGTAGAATAAAGACGTACCTACTTCTTTGCTTGCACAATGCATAGCTTAACAATTCCCATTTATGGCTGGGACCTGCTGGGTACAACCATAACATTAGCTGTTATTTATAGCAATCTGTCTATGACATTGTAAAAACTTACCTTCCTTTTATCATCAAGAGACACAGCTTCTAGCTCATAATCTTGTCGCCCATGGAACACAATGCTGAAGCGCCTCCTTTCAGTATCCTCACAGGCTTTGACTTGTGAGAAAGGGAACTGTTTCTTAATAATTCCTTTTTCAATGTTAAAAATGGTCTTTGTGTTGAAATCAATCTGGAATAGAAAGTTCTTCATTACTTGACTCCATTGATTCTCCCCATTCAAAGGGAAAGACAGCATCCCCAACATTATCATGCAAGGGCATTTAGACAAAGGACAACTTAGCATATGTGTCTATCTTGATGATGAATAGAATAAAAAAATGACACGCCATCATAAGATACTGTACTACATTTGGTTTACTTACAAAACAAACAGATATTCATTGTAACTGTGTTTCCCTATCTCTTTTGATGAATATGCATCAGTTTATCACTCCTTTTTTAAATCTCCTTGCCTTATTCAACCCAGTGCAAAACCTTCCCATTCAGCAGTAGTGGTGGCACAAACCAATGGCACCACCATCTCTTCTGAGATTCAATTACTAACTGGTTCAACCTACGCCCCAGTGCTAAAATGAAGGCAGTTATTTTTCTAACAGCCTCTTCTGTGTCAGGAAAGAGAGGATACTTCTGAGAGATTACTTCTTAATATAAATATTACTGTGTTTTGGTTTAGCTCTTATCTAACACTTTTTTTTGTCTGCATTTATATATACATCTATATATTTACATACAGGTCAAAGGAGTCGTAATAGTCAATAAAGTTATTTTAATGCTGTTTCACATCTGTAACAACTAGAAATTGTTTGCTTCAAAATAAGATTATTATTCTTCCACTGTATAATCTATATTTGCAGTGTTAAAAACTAGTACAGACAGGTTCCAGTAGCTGTTGCACGTGTCAGCCCCTGCCGAGCAGAAACAGCTTTGTTGATACAATAGGATGTAAATATTATCTGACCACCCAGCTTCAGTGAATGCAGCCCACAGAGAAGAAAAACTCAGATGAGTCTCAGATCTCACCTTAGTTAGATATTTACCTTTGGTCATAAATGATTCCTGGCACCTTTCACTCCTACAGTGCAGACAGCACCAACAAATGCTAACACCATGGCTTTTCCCTCCGTTCTGTTTATAGCAGGAAATGTCCAAAGTAGACCCATTCACATTATTATCTCTGACTTTTGAAGGCTGCTTTTAACTACAGAACTGGAATTAAACTACTCTAGATTCCCGTACTGATAATTTTGACATCTAATAAAGCTTTCTCCATTTTTCCATTGGCTTTATGTCTAAACAAATAACCTTTTAATTTCAAAAACTGGTGGATATTAAGGGAAATAAGGAGGTTATGTTCTCTACAGTTAAGGCATGGTAAAAAAAAGCCCAAACCTCTAGCATGTTTGATTTGGACTTGTTCATTATCAAATTTTGTCCAAACTGCAGGAGAAAAACATTAGTGAAATCCAGGATCCTGGAAACAGCACAAAACCTTTGTCACTGACTTCAGGAAATCACCATCAGGTGTCATCGGCAGAAGACTGTTTTAATATTGGGCAAGTCATTAAAGACTTAAGGGTACATAATGTCAAAAAAAGGATTCAGAGATGAAATGAAAATAGTTTGCCAAACGAACCTATCCCCAGGAATATTAGAGGGTGCAGTTGAAGTGATGTCCTGTCAAAAGGGACACATATTTAAGTGTGTCTACCTTGTTCACATGTGTTTACTGTTGTTAACTAATAAGAATAACTCCCATCTTTGTGATGAATCATGATTTATAGAGGAGAAAAAACTGCTTAGATCAATTCTATTCTATAGTCCTTGCAGGGAGGGAGTTTCAGATATCACCCCCAGAATACTTTTGGTATAAAAGGAAGAAAGTTTGTTCAGTATCTTGTACCTCTCTGATAGGCTGCTGAAGCACAAGATTTTTTAAGCTGTTTCATAACCCTTAACAAGGAATCTAAGAATCCTAGATTTAATATGTTGCTTCAGAAGAGAGAATTTTTCAAGTTACCTGCAAAATTCGTTTCTGCCACCGATAGTGTTTGTATTTGTAGATAACGAAGTTAAATTGTGAGCCAGTTAGCAAATCCTGTGAATCCTGAAAAATAGAACAGAAATCAGAAATACGTCCAACACTGGATCCCATCAAATTGGATATCCATTACACAGGATACAGGTAGCATTAGCCATCAGTACCTGACATATTTGGTTATAAACTGGAGGGTGTATTTTTGCACAGGTTGTAACTGCATCTCTGAAAGCAAAACAGACATGCTCCTAATGCCCAACTGCGCTTTCCAGAACATGCTCGTACATTTGAATGTCTTGTAAAATAGATCAAAGGAGTGACCTTACCTTTTCAGCATACACTTCTTTCTTTGCCAAATGCAAAGCTCCTTCAATGCTCACTTCTTTATTCTTCACCATGTTCATAATTTTGAGGATCTTTTCCTGGCTTAACTGGAAAAAAAAAAAAGTCAATCAAATGTTTTTAGAGACTGTTTTTTCATCTGGCCATTGAGAATATAGAGTGCTTGTGACAGTTACAGCTACGGTATCTGCCATAAAATTACAATTTCATTCATATTTTATGTTCTATCGACAACCTGCCCAGCAAATATAATCTCCCTTTGAAACCTGGTGAAAGTCTACAAGATATCAAATATACAAGGTCTTTTACAATTTCAGAAGATGGGGTGGTAATATCGAGATAGAACTGCCAGGAGGAAATCTTTTTTAGTTAGAAAATCTGCCAAGAAGTGAAAACATCAATTTTGCATGCTTGCCTGTGTCTTACCCTTAGTACAATGTATTGCACACAGACAACATGAAAGCAAAATCAGGACCATTCAAAATTTTCAGGGTCAAGGCAGGGGGAAATGGTAAAGCCGTCACGTAAACTTATCTAAACATGTTAGCAAGCTGGCATTACACTTCCTTTTTTTTTTTAACAAAAAAAAAAAAGGTTGCACTGTCAACAACCTGACACACAAATTTACGTCGCTCTTATGTGAACCAGGTGGGGATTGCAATGTCAAACAGGAATCAAGCAAAGAAGAAAAGCAAGCGGAGTAACCAGGGCCCCAGAACTGCAGCTGCTTGCACTGCTGGCAAAGCTCTTCCATAGGCTCTGTAAAAGAGAAAACAACCTCCCTCTGAAACAAACAAAAGAGTGCCTTTGTGTGATATCCATTCCTCAAGAGCAGCAGATTGGGGAATTTGGAAGGAATGTGTGCGTTTTACCACCAGGAACTTGTGATTTTTTTTGACCAGTAGCTTAGCTACAACATTCAATTAGCTACAATAAACTTTTCCTACTCCCTCGAAGAATGACTTCACCACCTGGAGGTAGGTTACTGCAGTAAAATCTTTGTTTCAAATCATCCTTTCCAAACTTTTCCAGATAAAGAGCCCATGCCAGGGGCATTGCCCAGGCTGTGCAGGAGCAGGGGAAGGGCAGGACGGTTGTCTCGGGGAAAGGGCCTCCCCTGTGTCCCCGTTCCTGGAGCTGCCAGCAGAATAACTTGGGTCACGGCACGGCAGCTCAGAGCATCTCAAGCAAACCTGGATTTGGCTACCCCAAGCACAAGGCACCAAGACCTGGAGCTGACTTTTCTGTTCTTGCCACAGGAGAAAGAAGCACAGCTGAAGACAGGTATTCCTAGAGAGCCTGGTCTGCTGCCTGGGATGGGGAGGACGGGTAGAAATCAGGGTTCCTGAGAGCTTCTGGTTTTGCCTCCTGCGACTTGTGATCACTGCCCCCATCGGCACCTGCCAAGCTGCTCCCCAGACCTCCGAGGCAGGCAGGCAGGCAGGGCAGAGCAGGGCTGCAACTGCTTTGCTACCCCCAGCACCTCCCTGTCCCTGCTTTACCTACACCTGCAGATCCCCACAGGCATAGGGGCTTCTCTGTTACAAAGCCCAGCAACGCAGCCTTGCAGCAGAACAAGGTCCTCTCCACCCAGCCAAGCCGCCCAGTCACCTGGCACAAGTCTGATGGACAATATAAAAATAACCAGTCACACCACAGAGGTCAGGGACCCGTAAATCCACAGGTTCTCTCTTTTTCCGGGCCACACTACACTAAAGGCACTTTAGCCTACCAAATTTCTGACATCTCAACCAAATTCTGATCAACAGACACACTGTATGTTTTTACAGCCTACAAATAAAACTGAGAGTAAAAAGAAGAAGAAATATTTTGGGTTTAAAGTCTTGGAATTTTCAGTGCTAATATAAAGGTAACTTATGGCATAGCTCCCAGCTGCAAATAGTAATGTGAACAGTGAGGAAAGAATGAAAGCAGTCTAATAATTCATTCACACTTTCTGAGGCACAGAAGGTTCCGACAATGACCTCCACATTCTGTATTTGAATTTTAAATGGCCATATATTTACACCACACATACACTGTGTACGATTAGATCTTAACAAGATAATTCCCCACTGAATAGGCTTTGTGTAAGCAAATAAGAATATGGATATATTTGAATTGAAAAATATAGCTTCCTTAGGGCTAGGCCCTGCCAGATTTAAAGAGCAAGATCCTCTTCATACAGGATAGCAATTCTTAATGGGAAACTGGAGTTTTTGCAACTGTTAGACCCTTTTGTGTGAAGGGTTCAAATATTTTCCAGCAGGATGGCAATGGTAACATAAAAATAACATTAAGGCAGAGCCTGATTAACATAAACAAGAGAAGTATCTATTTCCTTCACTTCAGTGCACATGTAAATCAACGAACAGGCTCTGTTCTCATTTGAGTCTCATGGTATTGTCCGGCTACACAATATACTGTGCAGATCTGCAAGGACGCTTCCCAAGAGAGGCCAAGAAAAGTTTCAACTTAAAAAATATGAGGCTTTGAAATTTTTGTTCTGGGACATAGGTAAACTTGGTCACCATCCCTGTTCTCGTGCAAGCAGGCCCCATACTCTGCAGTGCCCCGAGAACTGGCTATTTTATAGTCTGTCTTTTTGGTCAAATATTCTATCTAGGACCAAGATACCTTACCACAACATCTCTACAAAACCCAAGACACTTTCTTGTAATTCATTGTTCATTTTCTTTTTTTCTTTTACTGTTTACCAAAAAAAAACCCAGAAAGGAATGCATTTTTGCCTCTATGAAGTATTAATCTCTTCATTCATACCTTCAACAAAGCCTCCTTTAGACTAGAGTGAAATTCTGCCCAAGACATGAAAACTACAGGGAGCATCTCTTAATTTGCTGAATAATGTATGAAGAAAAATGTTTGCAAAAGAGAAACAAATCATTTTATATATTGCAAATTCAGGACAGTTAGTTAGTAAGCGTGACTACTGACAGTTAATACATTCCCCAGAGAGCACACAAAAGACAGTGCTTGGTACAGGTTATTTTTAACAGCACCCTGGTGTTTTAATGTCTCTGTTAACTCTCTTTCTCTCTGCACACATGTAAGCAGGAGGGAAACATTTCAAAAGACAAGAGAGACAAAAAAGGCACTTTTCAGCTTACGAGAACTGTCAAAATTATTTGTTAGAAGTCTGTCTGGCTCACTCAGTTTTTTGACAGCCACACGTTAGCATGGTATTTTCACTTGCAAACAGGACTTGAGTAACAGATCCTGACCTTTATCATTTTGTATCTGTGGGGCTTTTCTCTCAGCACGTCACAATTTTTGTAATGCTCATTCTTGTGTTTGTTTTAGTTATAGTTTTTTCTTAAAAAGAAACATTTTTTGTCATATTATCCACCAAAATGCCACTAAGTCAGATCGTGTTATATTGCCTAATAGAATGTGACTGGTGCAACCAAATAGAATGTTTTTACACAAGATTGGATAACAAAACTTAGGAAAAAAATTAAATACCTCTATTATAAAGCATGCACATTAAGGAAATACATAAGACTGCATTAATAATGCATTCATTTACCTGCCAGGTTAAAGAAGCTTGTTTAATACAGATTAAGTTTTCATCACCCACCCAAAATTCACTATAGTCACGTAAGTGGTTTAAAAGAAAAATCAGTGTTCACAATAGAAGGAAGAACATGGGGCTCCAGGCATTCTCTCTATATCCATTACTCTGCAGGGTGAAGTTTTTGTATTTTTGGCCTAGATATGGTATGAAATGTGTTTAGCAGCAAGATAGGAGATTTCTGGCTTATTCTTGGGCGGCTGCCAACCCAGTACTCTACATGCCCCCTTCCAGGGTTTCCTGCCACTCTCCATTTACGCAGCACAGTCTCACAGGAGACCATAAGAGGTATGGAAGGTTTTGCATGCAGCCTCCAAACTGTGGAAATGTTGCTCTAATGACTCCAGAAATGTCACCAGACCTTCTGAGCATAAACCAAGAAAGAGGGGTTAAAGCCACGTCATCTGAGTCATTTACAGTTGATTAAGCAAAGCAGTGGAAGGCACACAGAGCATGGGTAACCGTTCAAGAAAAATACAGGGTAATGTCTTCCTGCGTCTCTTCTCTCTGACTCTCATCCTCTAATACACACTGGTTCACATTCTCCAGTCAATTGCAGGATTGCTGGGACTCCTGTGCAGTCAATGGAGATACCTGGGCTTCTCTAGGTGGCAATTCACCTCACATAAGACCTGTCTCATTTCCTGACAGGTCTTTTTCTCCATTACCGACAGAGGAATTCAAGCTAAATGGCTTTTGCTCAGCTATTCTTATTCTGTGGACCATCCCACCTGAATCACAATAATGTGACAGGCAATCCAATGCAAAAAGACTCCTAGAATGTATGCATGTACACCCATGAAGACATAGAGCAAGAAATCTGGCTGTCAGTCAGCTATACATATGATCTCAATTATGACAAACACAGGCACGATTCAGTGAGACATTATTTCAGGTTTATTTAGGTGAAGATCATAGCTAATAGGCACCCAGCTCTATCATTTCCTGTGACAACGAAACCAAGTCATGCAGAAATCCTGCTCCCTGTACAAATGAGGAGAAATTTTTATTCAAGTCTAGTCAAGCTTTTCACTGTTAAGCATTCCTTACACTTGTCCTTATTAAACACTCACAGTGTTAAACATTCTCATCGGCTTGCTGCAAGGAGTGAGACAAAGCAACTCCAGGCTGCCGCGGGACTCAGAAGAAAAGGCTGGACTCACTGGGCTTCTTCCTCATCCTCTGCACTCCACAGCAGCATCTCCCTTTTGGCACTGCTGGGATCAGTGCTTCAAGGGACAACGGGGCTCCATCCAAGAGGGAACAGCCAAGTAGCAGCTACATATTGCTTTACAGACATCTGAATTTCTGGGCATAAATCTGACTGAATCCTAGTGTTGTCCATGCAAAAAGACTCTTTTTTTATCAAGCATAGGGTCATATTTTCATCCATTTTGGAGTCTGGTTTTTTTAACACAGCTTTAAGGTTTTGGTTTCTATCCAGAAGACCAGGATAAAGTGTGTTTGAGGTAAATCCTTCTGGGGATTTTCTGTTGACTCAGTGCCTTCCAGCTACAATGCACAACACTTTCTGCAAAGCAAGTACAGCAGAGAAGCTTAAAAATAAGTGCTAGGATATAATGCAGTGATTGAACTCTGATGAAATTTCAAGCAGCAACTTCCTTTCCCAAGCTGTGCTTTTAAAGGAAACTTTTTTTTCTAAATTAAAGGCACTGGCTTCATAGTTTAGCTATGGGCATTTGTCTTCCCAAAAATACTATGCTGAGCTGCATTCTGCTGTCGTATTGAACATGTCATTTAAATGGACACAACTTGAGTTGCCTTAAAATTCTACTCTGGCGTCACCAGCTCCCATCTCCTAACATATTCACTTTTACCAGGTTTCAACCTGGCCCGAAGTGGACTGAGTGCTCCCATATATTTGCAGGGGAGTGGCTGTCTTCTGTGACTGGGGCATCTGAAAAGTCTTCACTCGTAATTTACATGAAATATCAATACAGATGACTGATGTGATGTTTCTATGTGGCAATACCATCTTTTGTAGCCAGTCATAGAGAGAGACTAATATTATTTGTCAAACAGAGCTGCTATTCATCAAATAAATTATCCATCTGTAATAATGTTTTGCATTATTTGTTCAGATCTATATCTAGCTGAATAATATCTGTCAACATTTATTCAAAGAAGAAGGTATTCATCAAGCAGTAGCTTTATTTCCTTGAAAACACTAGAAATTTTGGCACTTTCAGTAGGAGCTGGAGGAGTCCGAAGATATTTTATTATAATTTATATTTTTATTGGCATAAAGGTGATAAATAGTGATCAAGTAAAGCAACAACAAAAACATCTCAAAGAGCTAGTCTGAAATATATTTCAGAACCTAAACCATAAACCAGTGCCTAGTGACATGTATACAGTACAACGTGCAACACAAATTAGTCTACCTACTTGCAGTTTTGAAAATATCGCTGTATTGAGGAACTTAATGTTGAAACATTTCTTGAAGTTCCCTCTGAAAAACTGACAATTTATAGATCTCACATGAAGCAAATACATTAGTTTCCCTGAGTCGCCACTTAACAAACCAGAATGGAACCTCCTGCTCCAACAGCACCTGGAACTTGTCAGGAATCGACACTCAGAAAGTAATTACTGGAGTTTCACTGTGAAAACTCAAAAGGTAAATTGAGTGGTGTTGCACAGGAGACTGACTTCATTTTGCACTATTCGGTGTTTTCATTAATGATCTGGTGACGGATTAGGGTGGGGTTTTTTTATTAAATTTACAGACTTTGACATGAAGGGGGAAAGAACTGCAAGCAAGTTGCAAGGGGGATTCAAATTCAAAACAAGTTTGACAAATTAGAGAAATGTTAATATACAGTTGAAAAGTTAAAAAAAATATCTTGAAAACGTTC